TCATCCATTTTACTCTTGAATGGATGTCTTGAACAGTCATCAACAGATATCACTTCACTTTTTATTTTGGAATCTTATCTCTCGCTGTTTATCTCTGACATACACAGTTTATATACCCAGACTAGAACTGCTGATATTGTCGAGGGATAATGAATAGCTCTGTGTGATGGACCCATCAGAGGAGGTTTCATCTTTACTTGGTGAGAGAAGCGCCAGCTTCTGACACATGTTTCTTTTAACCAAGACGAGAAAATGTGCAGGATTCGTCAGTTCAGTAATGCGCCTTCATCACGTGCCTTTAGACATATCTGGAGTAAAGTAATTTGGAAGGTTTAGAAGGTGGCCACTTGTCAATGTAGAGCTGCCACTGATACTGCCTTCCGACAGAAACATGTCAGGAGAACAACCTTGCATTTGCAGCACACCTGTAAGGCTACTTCTTGTCAAACATTGTAATGTAGGTTCCAGGTATACTTGTGGTACGAAAGTTTTCTAAACATCTTGCATGAGATGTTCATATGAATGGAATTTATATACTTTAATATTACAATTCTTGTATATTACAGTGTCACTGTAACAGAATGAGTATGGCCTGTAGTGAGAGCTTCATTATTGTAAGAAACATCAACAACACTGTTAATGTTTTAAGGTTGCTTATATGGAAATTTCTTGCATATGAGAAAGGAATTTGCAGAGACCTTTGTCATAAAGAGCAATTGCTGATGCTCCATAACATTTTTCCTTAAGTTTTTGCGCAAATTGTACTCTGCAGTTTTGCTTCCAAAACTATTTCTAGCTGGTCTGTTGAGGTGTCATTAACCCACTCTCTGTACCTCTCCCTTGCCTACAAGAAGAAAGTCCACATTCCAGAATCTGTGAGTAACATACCCCTTCCAGATTTTATCCAGTAAGTATTGCCCATCATATGATATCTTCTGAACTTTTTCTTCACTTAATCAGCTTATTTTGTTGGGTCTTGTTTTGCTTCACTAGTGAGTAGATGTTGAAAGCTTTTCTTTTTTATTTTGCTCTGTTGTTTGAGCTAATATGTGAGAACTCCTAATTATGATAATGAAACAGAAGTGATTAGATGTGAATATGGAGCTCAGAATAATGTCTTTATGGAATTGGTGGCTTGTCAAAGAATGACATAGAAGACTACTGTCTTCCTTTTTTATTACTTTGACTTTATTCATCCATCGTGAATGTCAGAGAGTGAAATAGGAAGACTGTGGTATTCCTTTTCGATTTCTCTAACTTTTTCACCGTTTTGAATGAGAATGGCAAAATACGGCCAAGCTGTTCCATGAGATGGAACAGATACCGGTAACAAGAATATTTCTGCAAGCCCCTGAGTATAAGACTAAGCAATAACAGTGTTTATCAAAAGGGATATTTTTGCAGTACAATCTAACCAGTTCATTCCCTGCAAACCACAACTGTGACTTGATGTGGTTAGTGTATGCATTAGCATTCTATGTAGTTCTGTTTCGAACTTTTTGGTATACATTTACCAGAAACAGTGATGAAGGAACTAGTAAAATATTTGAATACAATCAAAGTAATTGAACAGGAATCTTAACAAAGCTATATATATATATATATATATACAGGCAGTTGTTTCAGAGTTTTGCACTTGAGTAAGTTATATTTGTTTTTAAAAATCTGGCTTTAGGTAGTACAGGTGCAGGAATTTTTTAAAATGTTGTAAATCCTTGTTATGCTGAGTTTGCACTACATATATTGTGGCATATTTGCTCAAGGCAAGCCAGCAGAGAGAGCTGTTAATGAGTAACGGCTTCGCGAACAAGCATGTTTCCATGGCAACAGCTGGAAACAGCAGCAGAGGAATGGTGTTTTCTGTGTGGTCCATGCCGAGATGTTATAAGCAAGTCAGTCAGTTGAGAGTCTACACTTGGAGCAATGAGTTAGTTATGGGACAGTCACCAGCCAGTAAGAATGTGAGTATGCAAGCAGAGGACATCGTTGGGATCCATCACCAGACAACTGGTGAAGACATACCAAACTAAGAAGACTTAGCGTGTGCTGTAGTGAGAAGTATAATGCGTGAATTGGTAAATGCATTATAATTATGTGTAGTTATGTTCTGTAAGAAACTCCCTGATTTTAGTCCAAACTGTACCGACCAAGCGACCGCTGCTTGTCGGTGAAGTTTAGTGCCAACTTTTGCGGATAGAGGGTGTCACGTGGTCAGTGCAACGAATCCCCATGGCTGTTAATTTCGGTTTTCTAGACTGGAGCCGCTATTTCCTTGAAATAGCTCCTCAATTATTATGAGGCTTAGTGGACCCCGTTCCAGACCCCACTGCTTTTCAGAAAAAATCTGGTGGCCCCGGGAATTGAACCTGGATCTCTGGAGCTGTAGCCAGGAAAGCTGACTACTAGACCACAGATATGGTCAGTTATGTTTCATAAGCATTCAATAAATCTGTTCATCAGTCCGAAACCCATTTGTAGTCACACCATGTACACATGACAATATTGTAGAGTGTACAGGTGTTGCTATGCAATAAGCGAATAAGCAGCGGTGTTATGCAACCTGTTTCTAGGCACTGGATCAGTAAACATGCATCTACAACAATAAGAGTTACTGTTGGAAACGGTGTTTTCTACTAAGTCCATGCAAACTGGTTATAATGAAGACAGTTGGGGTGACACAGATCAGCTGAGAGTTGAAAGTTTGGCTGTGAAGAGATGTGATGTGTGCTGCAGTTACAGTGAGACTGTTATAGTTACTGTGTTAAAACCCATTTGCCAGGATACACCTAGTGAAGACTGAGAAGACTTAGCATGTGCTAGTGATTTGTGAAGTGTAGAATCAGTAATAGCGCCATAATTACTTTATTTCCATGTGCTGTGTATAAGTGGTCAATAAATCCATTCACCAATCCATACCCTGTCTATAGTCACACAAGTTACTGTGTCTGCCTTGCATCTTTATATGTTTCTTGCCCAGTTTGTCCCTTTGGTAGTACAATCCTCTGAAGGTCCCCCAGTTCTCATTGACTCACACACAGCCCCAGCCTCTGTCCTCCCTCACTGTAGATATAATTTTCATGCTCAGCTTACTCTTCTACCCTGAAGATGGTGGCAACACACTATACTTCCATGTGACATCATGACTAAAAAATAGGATAAATATTTCCCTTGAACTCCTGTCAGAGCCTGAAGTGAGTAAAATGAAGAAGTTCTGGGATGAACTAATTGCCTACTTTACTTTCACTGCGATTTGAGTACCTGGTGCAAGTAGAAAGAAAGCTTTAGTATTTATGCGTAATGAATTCGTACAATTAGGGAGGCTGCAGTGTTGGAATTACTGATGGGAGTGATTTATGAAGTAAACCACTGAGATGGCCTCAGATGATGTGATATACGTACCAAGTTCCATGAAGATCTGTTCGCACATTCAGGTAATATTGGGGTTATTACACTGACCGTCTGATAGGTTGCAGTGATTGTGTTACTAACAGGAAGGATTTATGATGTATGGTGTTGAGATGACCTCAGATGGCATGACACATGTACCAAGTTTCATGATGGTTGATTTGGGAATTCAAGCAATATTAGGGGTATTACCTAAGAAATTTGAAAGATTGTAAGGTTGTTACTACTGATGAGAGAGGTTTGTTAAGTATGCTGTTGAGATGGCCTCAAGTGGCATGATATACATACAGTGTCTCATGACACTCAGTTCAGGCATTCAGGTAATGTTAAGGGTAAAGCAGTTTGAGATGATGCAGTGTTAGTATTATTAATGGAAGGGATTTATAATGTATGCTGTTGAAATGACGTCAGGCAGCTTGATATATATTCACACACTTGACATTTCATGAAGATTGTTACAGCCATTGAAGCAGCATTAAGGTTTTTCTCAGAAGTTGGAGAGGCTGCAGTGTTGGTGTTACTGATGATAGGGATTTATGAAGTACTCCATTGAGATGGTTTCATGTGACATGTTGCACTTACTGAGCTTCATGAAGACTAGTAAAGGCATACAAGGAGTTTTAAGGTTTTGCATCAGCAATTTGAATGGCTGTAATGTTGGTATTACTGATGGATAGAATTTATAAAGGGCACTGTTGAGATTGGCTCAGGTGGCATGATACACATACCAAGTTCCTTGATTGGATAAGGAATTTAAGTAACATTATGATTATTACTACAACAGTTTGAGAGTTTGTAATGTTGGTATTACTGATCAATGGGATTTATGAAGTGAACTGTTGAGATGGTTTATGTGACATGATATATGTACAGAGTTTCATGAAGACTGGTGAAGGTGTTTAAGCAAGATTAAGGTATTGCCTCAGAAATTTGAGGGGCTGCTGTGATGGTGTTACTGGTGGGAGGTATTTATGAATTACGTCATTGAGATGGGCTCAGGTGCCATGATTCACATACCAAGTTTCATAAAGATTGGTGTAGGCATTCAAAAGTTGTTAGGGGAGGATACACTAACTGACACACAGACAGCAAGATGGTCTCGTAAGTCTGCTTTTATTTTTTCAAAGTAAATCATTTGTAAATGCTGTCCTGAAGTAGTCTGCAAATGGACATAATCTCAGGCTGTTTTGTAAGTCAGATACTTTTCCTCAAGAATACTTTTACTATTTTTATTTGCATAATAAAACATAGTTTAAATTCAGTGTAACAAGAATTCATGACATTCATGCAGATTCTCATCCTAAGGGACACTTGTGATATCCAGAACTACTCATAGATTATCAAGGGTTAATGTAATGACTCGTGTACAAAATTCTGCAACATCTGCTGTCATACAGCGAAACCCCATTTAAGATTTCTAGTGAGAACAGTGAATTTGCGCACTGAAATGAGGAATATCTTTAATGCAGATGATTATTAAAATTTAACATTAAATGAGAAGACATCTTAAATTGAGGAATATTAAATCTGGGTTGCACTGTATGCAATTTTGTCAAAGTTTCTGTGCAGTCGACATGTTGTTATTTCTGTTGCAGGGGACTAGATAAAGTACAAAGAGTTCTGCTCACACATGGCGACAGTATAGAGAAGGTTGCTGATTGTTTTCGTGTTGTTGCAGCATCAGGTTCTTTCCCTTCAAGTATAGCTAATGACAAGCTGCGCCTTTATGGGGTCCAGTTTCATCCAGAGGTAGGCAGGCATGATTGTGTCACTGTCACCCAGAGGTAGGCAGGCATGATTGTGTCACTGTCACAATTTCTGTCAACCATTGTTGTTCATATTCTCTACATAAAACTACAACTTTGCCTTCATCTGACACATAACATACATTCTATGTTTTCCATCATATAGTCCATTAGAGACTAATTGAAATTGGAAGGTGCTATGGCATGGAAATGAATGTGTAGAAAACAAAAGTAATGAAAATTTTGAGACAACCAACCCCAGTCACAATAAAGATAGACCAAAAACAACTGGAGAATGTGAAATGTTTTAAATATTTGGGTAGCTTGTTAACAGATGATGGAAGGTGTACGTGTGAAATTAAATCCAGGATTGCCAAGGCAAAAGCTGCATTTAGCAAGAAGAAGAATCTTTTTACCAGCAAATTGGACTTAAATTTGAGGAAGAAACTAGTGAAATGCTACATTTGGAGCATAGCTCTGTATGGGGCTGAAACATGGACACTTAGGGCAGTAGATCAGAAACATCTGGAAAGTTTCGAAATGTGGTGTTGGAGAAGGATGGAGAAGATCAGTTGGACTGATTATGTGAGAAATGAAGAAGTGTTAATTAGAGTCAGAGCAGAGGAATATCCTACACGAAATAAGAAAACGGAAGGCTAACTGGATTGGTCATGTTTTACGCAGAAACTGCCTTCTAAAAGAAGTTATCGAAGGAAAGATAGAGGGGTGGATAGAAGTGACAAGTAGACAAGGAAGAAGACGTAAGAAGATGCTGGATGACCTTGGGGACAGAAGAGGATACTATCATTTGAAGGAGAAAGCTCTAGATCGCATTAAGTGGAGGAATTGTTTTGGAAGAGACTGTGGACCTGTCGTCTGACAGATTAGTGATGATGATGAGTCCATTAGATAGTTAACAGTGTTTTGGAGTAAGAGGGCTGTCTCAATCTTTAGGGTTAAAATAAAAGCCTGCTGTTATTCTTTGGTCCTGATGATGGAGGCAGTTGGTTCCTCCAAAAATTGGTAGCTGCCAGACTACACAGAGCCACATCCCATGGGACACTAATTTTTTCACACAATTTGTATTCTTAAACTGAACAAACGCTTTACTTAATTTTCATACTTCAGTATTAAGTTTGTAAGTTGTCTGTGCCTGGCTCCACAGGTTGACCTTACAACAAATGGAAAGACCATGATAAAGAACTTCCTTTTTGACATCAGTGGTTGTACAGGCAACTACACCATGAAAGGCAGAGAAATGGAATGCCTCAAGTACATCAAGGAAACTGTTGGTAGCAACAAAGTTCTGGTAAGGAGAAGAGAATGATGTAATTATATTTATAGAAATGTGTTTGTGCAATAATAAGAAATTACCCAAAATTGAGGAAAACACGTAGCTTTTGTTGATGTCATCTTACATGTAAAGAAAATTACTTGTACATAATCTGATTGATTTTTGAAGATGTTTTCTTATCCAGCATTTCAGATTTGATGCCAATAGACTGGGCGACAAAAACAGATTTTAAAACAGCTCCTCAGATTTGAATGGAATTTGTAAAGTTGTGTGGAATGTACCTTAGTAGATGTATACAAATATTTATTCAGTTCAGTTGAATTTTTACAAAGATGGATATTTTCTGAACGGAAGAGGTATTTTTATGTTCATATAACCTGCAGATGGTGCTACAGCTGAATTTGTGAGATCCACAGAATGCCCACCAAATTCTCCAGATTTAAATCCATTAAACTGCCATGTTTGGAGCAAACTTGAACAGGTAGTGTAGAGATACACTACTAGAGAGTACTGTTTGATTCTGTGGTAACATCCCACATACTTACACACTGTTTTGCCGTTCTAACAGACAACACTCACTCCTAGGTCAATATCACATTGCCCCACATTGCACTTATATTTATACAGCACTCGATGTCCAACCCACTTGCAGATCATCACGTGCGATAATGAATCACATTGCTGCCAACACTCGTATTTATACAGCACTCACTGTCCAGCCCACGTTTGCATCATCGCGTGCGCTAGCCAATCAGCGGTCACAATCGCAACTGCAAGTTTCGCTCCGCCCATCAAGCATGGTATAAAAGGCGTAGCCCAAAGCTCTCAGTAGTCAGTGATCACATTCAGTTAAGAGCGGTTAGTCATCACCTCTTCTGTGCGACCAGGCAACCGATGTATTTGCCGCAAGTCTCCTGTGACCAGGCGGCCGACGTAGTTGCTGCAAGTCTCCAGCGACCACGCTCTGTGACCGGGCAACTAACACAGCTGCCGCAACTCCAGGAACCACACCGTGGACAGCTGTTTTACTGGCGCATGCAGCACTACATCACCGGCCAGACAGGCCAGCTGAACGACCTTAAGACTTGGCCTACTACGAATGAACAAACGGCCCCTTTCAGGGCCCGCAAACTTTCCAAAGTGGTTGTCTATTGGAACCTCGACAATCCCACAATTCATTAAGAGTTATTGGAATGAAGTATTGAAAATGTGTAGCTAATTGTATCATAAGGTAACATCTGATCAGATGTCAATCAATGGAAAATATGATTTAGGCTGCAGTCCAAGAAAACTCGGGTTCTGTTTAATATTGATTCTGATAAAAGATATGCTGGACTTATAAATAAAATGCCAATTTTTAACATTCAGAGTGGAGAGTGATTTTCAAAAATGAATCAACTGAACTGGATAAATCGATTAGGGGATGTTCTGTTTCTTTGTTCTGGGCTTTCATTGTCACTGCTACTAGTGTTATGTGCTGTGCCTTACATGATATTGAAACTGTCCATCAGTCAGGGATTCCCAGTCCATACATTTTTCTTTCATAATGTGAGCTGAAGCTGAGAGCCATTCTGCTCCCTAATGTTGTGACATTGCTTCATGGTGTAGGAGCATGCAGGCTTATTTGGCTGATTCAGTTGTGGTTGTGCTAGAACCATTTTGGCCATATTGTTCCAAGAACACCCATTTATAACCCCTTTTTATTGTTTGTTTTTATTTCCTGTTAAAGTTGGCACTAACTTCACCGACAAGCAGCCATCGCTCAGTTGGTATAGTTCACTTGCAGACTAAAACCACAGAGTTTGTTATTTGTTTGTTTTATCTCCTGTCCCTTACCAGATTCCTGAATTTTAAGTTTCATAAGTTAAAACTCCTCTTCTGTCTGAGATACGCATATGTTTACTTAACATTACTCTCAGGTCCTTAAGGAATGCTTTCAACTTCAATTTTACACAGCTGCAGTCAGCAATAGAAGCTGAGGTGTCCATAAGGCCACTTATACATGCTAGTGTGTGAGTCTGTTAGCCAGTAGTTAACCTGTGTTTAGATAGTGGACATGTTGAAGTTCACATATTTTAGAGCAGTGGATTCCAAAATTTTGTGGGCCATGCACTGTGGCATGGATTTTTGTTGGAAGACCTCCAAAATATTAAATGAAATATTTTAAGACTCTTGAATGGAATGGAATGAAGATGAAATTTAGTCAGCAGTTACACCCTCTGGACTACTGAAATGAAGGTAATATAAAGATTTGCCACTCAAATTGCATGTTTCTTTGTGAATAAATATAACATATTGACCTTGAAGATGGGCAGTAGACTGCTTGAAATTCCATAGCAGACTACCAGTGATCCACAGACCATGAGTTTGGGAAACTCTGCTTTAGGGGAACAAAATGTTATGTGATCCCCACATCAGTTTGATTTGGTTTGATTCCAACCTAAGTGCTTCATGCCAGTTTTTATGTGAACACATAGTTAGAAGTAGTTTTTTAAACTGATCCTTTTGTGTTGCAACACAACACATGCTAGAACAGTATAACATGCACTGTGTAGCCTGGACAACTGGACCACAATACCAAAGGTAGGATTAAAAACAAAAAACTCGTTCAAATACAGTCAGGATTATAGAAACACTACATAATTCCCATAATATAATTGCAGAGCTTTAATCATCAGACAACGAAACCATGCTGTGGAATATATTCATCTTCCATTAAGGAGAAGAAGTGTAATTACACAAACCAAATTGGTTTTAGATTAAATAGAAATATTGAATGCTATTTTGTTAACAGACTAATTGTAATTTTTAGATGTTTTAAAAAATCAATGTAGATCTTGGTATTAGTTAAAATATGTAATATTTATATCTATGATATTGTAGTAGTATCCATATATGTTTGATAATATCCTTCTGAAGATGGTTGTTTTGGTGGAAAGGTTTAAAGGACGAAAAATTAAAAACAGCTGTTATCGATCACACTGGATGATAATTAAAAATCTTTTATACAATTACTAGTGTGACAGACCAGGATGAAGCAAGTTAGGATGGACATCTGTTCGTCCCCTCTCCTGTTTGTATATCACATTTTGTGTGATGCCGAAGTTCTAATGGCTATGACTCTGAAGTTTACTATCTTCTGAGGTGCGATGCCGTCTAGTGTGATAAATATGTACCACTATTTTAGAGGAGTTCGCCACCTCCAGTGAATATGAGGAAGTATACTGGAGGGAGATGTGTAGATCCATGGGTTGTCTTTTTCTAGTTTTCCATAGTTAGTAATGAACAGCATGCTGGGGAAAGTCCATTTGTTTGTGAGGTTTCTCTCTCTCTCTATTTTTCACTCACACACATGTGGGTGTGCACACACACGAGATATATGATGATAAGACATTGACAGTTCCAATGATTTTTGCCTCTGTAGTGAGGTTCTCATTATAAGCCAGTCTGCTGCAGTTATCATAGCTGAATTTGAAAAAGGACACTTTTGAACTGAGTGTGCTGGTCTACTGGTGATGCTTAAGACCAGTAATTAGGATTTGCTCAGTTTGAATATTGACCTGTACACCAGCTGTCCTGACTTGAATTTGTGAATGTTTTTGTCTGGAAGGATAGTACTTTGATTAGGTCATGACTTCTTCCTTCCAGATCTTTCTGAATTCATTATTCATCAGTTCTACCACTCAATGCTGTGTGGTGTAGATACTGGAAGTAGAGTAAACCGCTGCTAATCTGGTTACAGTTAATCCAAATGTCTGATAATCTGGATCGGATTATGAATAATTAAAAATTCTGTTCACAGTTGAGTACATACTTTAAAAGGCACGTGGCATTTAGGAGAAAGAGGGATTAGAGCAAGAGGACTTTCAGACTGTGTTGAAGGCAGCTGGAGAGACTGAAACCATGCAAGAGAATATCCAGAATTGGCTTAAGCTGGATGAAGGAGACCCTGAATCTGAGCTTCTTGTCCTTTTATAGTTTTTAAATTAAGGCTCTACAGTTATTCAGCAGCACTACCTATATTATTAAATTTTCCATTTGGTTTTAAGTTTGTTGTGGTTAGGGCTCTTTTGCTCCATTAATCTGGATGACCTCGTCCCCAAATTAATACAGATTAGCAGAGATGTGCTGTATTGTAAAATAAGTCACAAAATTAAGTTTTTAGTGTTCTTGAGTAGTGTCTAAAAGCTGGCATATGTAGAGGTTTTGACACAGTGTACATGCATGTCATTAATTATCTGTAATGACATAATTTTTGTTAAATTGTTAAAGAACTAAAGATTAAGGTTGCATTTGATGTCTCTTGTTATTTGGTTTTTATGCAGCTGCTGGTGAGTGGAGGTGTGGATTCGACTGTGTGCGCTGCGCTGTTGCATAAAGCCCTGTGTGAGGATCAGGTGATAGCTGTTCACATAGACAATGGTTTCATGCGCAAGAACGAGAGCCAGAGAGTGGAGCAGTCCCTTGAGAAGCTGGGTCTCAGGTTGAGAGGTAGTGTACTGGTTTGCTGTCATGGTGGACACTTCATGTATTCATTGTTCTGGTCACTATTTTTTGTAATATTTGGTATACATAATTGGGATAAATGCTGGGAATTTTTTGAATATCTGAATGACTGTTAGCCTTCCAAGAAGGACTCTGCTCCATTTGTGTAGTTATTGTAGTCTTTTTGCTTAATTTGTAGCCTACCTTGGCTAAGTGGTCTGTGTTATATGTTGTATCACAGTAGCTGTAGCCAGTCAGCACATTGACTCCTTGGGATCATTGTGTAGGAAGTGTCTAGATGCATCTGTCATGAGAGCTACCATGAAACCTTTCCGCAGCTCCATTGTGAGCTATTCTCTTTATATTATCTAACTGCTGAGCACCACTGAGTTGATAAAGTGAAAGATGGAATGTTTAATGTCAAAGTTGGATATACAAAAAATAATGATGGAGTTTTGGAGGCTTTGTTTCCAAATACTCAAAAGGCATAACACTGAATGTTGTACCATTACATTCCTCCAGTCACACAGTGTGTTTGTTGTCATCTGGTCTGTGGCCACCTAAAATCCCTAATTTTACACCGCTTGATTTTTATTTTGGTGCTACATAAAGAATTATGTTTATGTGAATGAAATTTAGAGATCTGAATCATTTTAAACCATGAATAAGGGAAGCTGCTGGGCAGGTAACAAGCAATATGTTACAGCATGTGTAGCAAGAAGTGGCATTTCGATTGGACGTATGCAGGGTCATGAACAGTACACACGTTGAAACTGTCTAATTATATTCAAAGCCATTTGAGGTGTACTTTAAAATAAAACAGTTTTCTGAATATTGTTTCTTGAAATCCCACCATTATTTTTTGGACATCTTATGTAATCAGTCTGGATGTTAGATGTCAGACAGATTACTTACTTTTCACATCTTTCAAGCATAAGGGTAAAGTTATTCCTGGGCTTAATTAAATAAGCACCATGCCATGAAGACATAGGTGGAGTGGAGGTGTAGCTCCACCATTCTCAACTTCAGCACTAGACGGAGGTGAGTGGTCAGTTTCATGCCCCTACTGCTTAACCTTTGGGGAAACAGCCCTTGGTACCCTCTGTCTAGGATACTGGGTGGTCCTCAGAGCTGATCTGGATGATGTGGAGAGGAGTGAAGTGTGACTAACAAAATGTAGCTGAAGTGTTACTGTCTGTTTCAAGTGTAAGAAAGGAAGCTGGCAACTCACCTCCATTTAGTGCCAAGGTTAAGAATGGTGGAGCTATACCTCTGCTGCCCCATATGTCTTCATGGCATAGCACTTAATTTGTTAAGCACAGGGACAGCTTTATCTTTACAGTAATAATACAGTATGACTTAATTTTTAACCCCATGGGTAGTTACTTTTGTGCCTTCCTGTATTTGTCTGAGACTGAAAAGATGGTTTGTTGCTAATAGTGTCTTTTGTAGAATAATCTTGAAGTCAAAATATAGAGATTCTGTAACTTGCTGCTGATGACTGGTTCTTGAAAGACTATTGATTAAGGAGACATTGCACATATATTTGGGGCCAGAAAGATGTCTTGTTGCAGATATATAATCTCCAACTTCCGAACTAACCCTCCGCAGTACTCAAGCCATCCACTTTGCTCCCAGGTTTATGGCAGCTTGGATAGATTGAAGTAAGGATGACATTGACATGCTGAAAGGGTACACTAACCAGACATCGCCAAATAAGTTAGTGGAAAACAAGTATCAGAAAAATTAACATCCGAGTACCTATACCTAGTTTGCCATAATTATAACATTTTATGACTGACTGTGTACCACATCTGAATTTAAGAAAAAAAACATTGTCTCCTAATGTGGTGAACTTCTCAATCTGCTTTCTGTTTGGGAACATATATCCCTGTTTGATTGTACAGACACTGAGCCAGTTGGTTCAAGTGTTAACAGTTCTGACTTTTATTCTGGAGGGGCTCTGTTCGTATGTTGGCCAGGACTTAGATTTCTGGTGGTTTAACTCAGTCCATCCAGCAAATACCAGGATAGAATCTTAGGAATAGGCCATGTCTGCTTCATTACATATCCTTTCCAGTTTATTAACAACTATCATCTGATCATTTGATGCTACATACTGTAGCCGGAGTTACTGACAGGATCATTAAATAAACTGCAAGCAAAGAAAGCAAAATCATCATGCGCAGTGAGAAGTATGGCTGAAAGTCCCTGCTTCGGTTGTGTTTCAGTGATCAATGCAAGCCATCAGTTCCTGCATGGCACCACGACTGTCCCCCTGGACAAACGAGATCCCAACTCCAGGACACGTGTTACAAAGATTCTCAGCATGACATCAAACCCTGAAGAGAAGAGGAAAATTATTGGAGATGTCTTTGTTAAGGTCAGTCACTTTATGTATGTAACAGTTATCCCTGTTCACCCCTGTGGTCACTAGAAATGTCCGAATGTGTGGATGTGGAACAGTCTCACTTTGCAGCAGGTCACTGCATCTCTCCTGTGTCCCCACTCCAGTTTTCCTCTCCTGACTGTCTCTTTGCATTATCACTGCAGCCCTGTTAGTCCGCCCTGCTGCTCTTTGCAGTATTTCATTTTACACTGTCATGTCAAAATAAAAGGAAGGAACAGCGAATCCTTTCCCCTTCAGGCATTTGTTTTACAAGCTGAAATTGTTTAACTATATATACAAGAGTAAGCCACCATCACTTCATTACCACCTAGAATACATTCCATTTGATGGTCACATTTATTTCTTGCATCCAGGGTACAGTGACACCTTGATTTAATGATCACAATTTTTTGTATATTTTCTTAATTTTATATTTCTTTCTGTTGATTGTCCGTAATCCTCTGAATATAACATACAATTTTTATTGATATAGCTTTTGTTGTTATTTCCTGAATTTTTAGTCTTGCATTCAAATTTTGAAAATTATATCCTGTTTTATACTTTCTGTTTTGTGTGTGTGTGTGTGTGTGCGTGCGTGCGCGAGATGCAGGGAGAGAAATTATTGTGATCATGAAAAATGTCAGTCTTGAGATTTCCATATTTTCAGCCACTTCTCCAGAATATGAAAAAGTGGTTTTTGAAATGATGTTGTGACATGTTGCGCAAAAGAGAACCCCTACATCCCCAGCGGCACGTGGCGGTAACGTAGCGCTCCCTCCCCCCTCCGCGGTGACATAACGCGCAACGCGCGGTGATGTAAGACAGCGCGAGGTAACAGCGTTGCTAGGCTATACGCAAACACGGTGACGCGGCACCGCTTCCTACTGTGACGTGGTGGGTGACCCTAGCAACAGCGAACGGAATAAAAGTCGGCTGAGCAGCAAGCGAAGGTCAGTGTGTTATCAACAGTTCTCAAGGCAGCAGCCTGCGAGTCGAGTTGAAATACAAGTATCGCAGCCGTCGCGGAAAGAAGTACCAGATGTGTGTGTAACTGAGAATTAATTGGGAGTGTGATACAGTGGGACTTATATAGCTCCCATACTGTGAAAACGTGTTGACTACTGACAATAGGGTGAATTGATTATTGCGAATAGGGTTATAAAGTGTAAAATCCCGCAACATTGTTATAATTAATTGTAGCCGTTAGTTGTAGGTTGTTGAATAAACCAATTAACAATCTCTACGGCGTATTCAGTAACGAAACACGTTACAATATGTTTACATGTATATGCATCTTGCTGTTGCCTGAATGGTTGGCCAGCCCTTATTTGTATTCAGTATTTAAAGAGTTATCCATTGTAGGTCAGTAACTAGTGAATATGAACTGAACGTACTATGCCCAAAAATTGATCACTGTGGTCGCGGTGCAAGGGCCAAGAAGGCCCACCCCTTATACATTCATATACATGCCCAAAAATTGGGAGTATTTCAGGTGGGCGCCAGAAAATGAAGTAGCGATTTTCTTGAAAACAGCTCTGGCAGCTTTGTTTTGAGTTTCAGTCAGTTATGGAGACTGTCACATGAAAATAAACTGCAGAGGTGATATCTTTAGGAAAATAATGGTACATTCTTTGTATGAAATAGTGTGTGTAGTGTCTTTGCATCCGTTTTTATGATACTCTTAAGTGGGTATAGTACGAGGGGTGTTCAAGTTCTAAGGTCTCCAATTTTTTTTCTCAGGACTGGGAGCAGATAGACACATGCGGTTTAGTTTAAAATACATGTGCACTCTTTGTGAATGTGTGACAGAGATGGCAGCACTGTACAGAGCACAGAACTCTAGTGGTGGCGGCGAGAGTGAGGAGTGTTTTTGATACCTAAAATGGCGACGTTTTCGTTACAAGAAGAGCGAGGAATCATTCGTTTTCTCCACTTGCGTGATGTGACACCCATTGAAATTCATCGCCAGTTGAGTGAGACATGTGGTGATGGTGTCATGAATGTGAAAAATATGCGTTTGTGGGTGCAACAGTTCAAAGAAGGCCGAACGTTGTGTGACAACAAACCAAAACAATCTCGGCCTCATACCAACCGGTCTGACAACATGGTTGAGCGAGTTGAGAAATTTGTTTGGAGGATCGCTGATTGAGTGTGGAAAGCATCGCCTCCAAAGTTGGCATTTCCATGGGATCTGTGCACACAGTCCTGCATGAAAACCTGCTAATGCGAAAAGTGCCCTCCAGGTGGGTGTCACGAATGCTGGCGGATGACCACAAGGCTGCGCGCATGGCAGTTTGACAGGTGATATTGACTCGTGATGAAGGCATGAATGGGGCTTTTTTTTTCATCAATTGTGACAATGGATGAGACATGGATGCTGTTTCTCAATCCTGAAACGAAGTGCCAGTCAGCTCAATGGAAGCACACAGACTCACCGCCACCAAAAATTTCAGGTAAGCGCCAGTGCTGAAAAAATAATGGTGGCCATGTTTTGGGATGGCGTAATCCTTACTCACTTTGTTCCAAAGGGCACAACGGTGACAGGTGCATCCTACGAAGACGTTTTGACGAACAAGCTCCTTCCAGCACTGCGAGAAAAATGGCCGGAAAAGGCTGCACATGTGCTCTTTCAGCAGGACAATGCACCAGCACATTGGGTGTATGCGACGCAGGAGTTTCTTCATGAAAACAACCTTGAAGTGGTTTCTCATGCTCCCTACTCACCTGACCTGACTCCTAGCGATTTTTGGCTTTTCCCAATGATGAAAGACATTCTGTGTGGTCGCACACTCACCAGCCGTGCCGCTATTGCATCAGCTATTTTCCAGTGGTCAAAACAGACTCCTACAGAAGCGTTCATAGCGCCCATGGAATCATGGCGTCGACGTTGTGAAAAATGTGTATGGCTGCAGGGAGATTACGTTGAAAAGTGACAGAAGTTTCAAATTTTTTGTATGATTATTGTGTGAGAAAAAAAATCGGAGACCTTAGAACTTGAACGCACAGTGTAGTATATACACAGGGGAAAATGTGTGAAATAATTGATTGCTGTCACACTGAACGGTAGCTTCCAGTATCATGCTTGAAAGCAAAGTGATCCATCACTGTTGACCGCAAAATATGCAATAAGAGTGAATTACTGCTTCATGTGTGTGACCATGATGAATGATGTGAAGAAAAGAAAAGCATCTTCTATAAAGATGAGAATAGGTATTTGAGTTAAATAGTGGGTGTCATAATACACTTTACATATACTTTTTGTTATGTGCAAATATGAGAAATATGATTTTACTTCAATGTATTAACCAACTTACACAGATTCCGGTGTTCACATAATGCTGGCTAAGTGGGCAAGGTGGGGAGAAGGGGGAGTAAAGTATGGTAATATGTTTGGGGCACTGAGATGCGGTTCGAATTGGTAATTGGTTTATTGAGTCTTCATTAGTCGGAACTACACGTGATTATTACACTATTGCGGTTTTATACCATTCACACTCATTACACACCAATCTTCTCACCCTATCTGCAGTAGTTTTCACATATTTGTAATACGGGAGCTATACAAATCTTACTGAATTACACACTTCCAATCTCACTGCACTGTAGCACACATAAAGTCTTGAAGTCGCACATTAAGTCTTCACTGGCTGACTTCTCAGCTGTCACTCACTATCACTGATTATCACTGACTATCACACTCATAAAACGTTCAAGACTTCTTCCTCCCCTGGCTGTCTCGCACTGAACACTGACTGAGAACTGACTATCTGACTAACTCTGACTATTTAGGAATTCCAGTCTCTCCTATAAACCCTTGATTGGACAAGCAGAAGCCGCAGCTTGCTCCCTGTTGCGTAATCATCGTGTCTACAGAGGCATTGCTAGGCAACACATCGATTAGTCACTGCTGAGAGGTGTTTACCACGGCGCTGCGTAACAATGAGTGCAGTGTGGCTTGGCTTGGCATGGCACAGAGAAAACGCCATTTTCCATATTGTTGAGTAATCGCCATTTTCACAGATTTCTGCGGCTCTGCAATTCTTGCATGGTGTAAAATCACCACAGTATTGTGCCGTGGAGGAGGAATACAAAGGGGAGAATGTGACTTGGCTAATATTCAAGTTATGTGATTTCACCCTCTATGACCTTATTTTTGGAACACAGTTGTCACATAAATCAAGGCGTACCAGTACTGTGAAGACCAGGCAGGAAATCAAGGGGTGATTTGTTCACCCAGTGAATGAGCTTCACACAATTGCTATTACAGGAACTGGGGCATTTAATAGCTTTTGGTGGTTGAATAGACAGATTCAGAGAGTACCATTGCATAATTTTCTAAAAGTTCCAGGAGAGAACAGCTCCTACGGCAGTAAAGAGATAGAGCTGGAGGTTTTCTTATAAGATATCTACTACTGAATTTGATCCTTACCTAATGTGGACAAAGTCTGTGGAAAGGAAAGCATATTACAATGGAACACTCATTTTACATTCATCAGTTTAATGGGTTTCCATTATTTGATGTCAAGTTTCAGTGATCCAAAGTAGGTCTCAGTGGTAAATTACCCCCATTTAAGTTTTTTTTTTTTCAATATAATCTTCAAATCTAATGACTCACAAATTTCCAGTTTTTTCGTTTGAAATTCATGTTGTCATGTTGTCTGTCCAAAAATATAAAATAGGGTCAAGGATGTGTTAGAGAAACAAGGGAGGAACCATGTCATCGCAGTCAGCCTACTCTGGAGGTGTACCTCACTTAACGGAAACAATAAAAGTGTGAGCTTAAGACTGGAAAAGAGGAAAATTGTTATTCATCCTAAGACTTACCATTCTGTCATTGTCTTATTTTTACTTGGAAGTCATCCTGAGTAGTTAGATATTATCACCGGGTTGCAGTCGTACCGTTTCTTCATCTGGCATTGCAGTCTTGATGTTTTCCAAAAATAAGTTTCCATTTTATCTAATGGCTTTTAATATCCAAAACATGTAGCAGAGCCAGACTAGGCATTGACCTTGATATAGTTGTGTTGTGACAGTTTTAATAAAGAAGTTGTAAGTTCCATTGATAGCCTGCATATAGAGAAGATAGTGATTTTAATGTGTGAGCGTAGATTATTGGAATTAGTCACTAGGAATTGTAGCTGCAAGTGAGAATGATTTATTTCAGAGATTGCACCCGTGTGTGGCATTAATCTACAACTCTGTGGTGCCAAAGAAAAGAGTTAGGTCAGAAGTGGTCAGAATGACACAAGTGGATCACAGACTTTTCCATGTTAAAAGGATCAGATAAAACCAGGGCATGTCTCTGAGTACAATATTTTTTCATTCAGTGACATTATGAAGTATAGGCTTAAGTATATTAGTAAATAAATATGTAAAGCTGTTTCTTATTCTCCCGTGAAGTGATGCTTAGTGAGTTAATCCTGTTTTCTCTAACACCACAGTCATGCAATAAATAATATATAAATAAAATGAGGGAGGATTTCAAAGTGTACGTGGGGAAAAGTGGAGTGTCCAGTGGTTACGTGGAAATAATAGCTATTAGTGAAATTTGTGAAGTGTCTGTTAGCATTTGCTTTGTATCTAAGGGTGATTTCATTTTTTGTTATTAAAGTTCTCACATGATTGCTGTAGGTAGCAAATGAAGTGATCTCAGAGCTGAACCTTAAACCGGAAGAAGTATTCCTGGGGCAGGGTACCTTGAGGCCCGACCTGATCGAGTCTGCATCACATCTTGCTAGTGGCAAAGCGGATGTGATCAAAACACACCACAATGACAGTGAGCTCATCAGGCAGCTGCGAGATGAGGGGCGAGTTGTTGAGCCATTGAAAGACTTTCACAAGGATGAGGTACAGTTCTTCTTACTATACATGCTGTCTGTTCTTGTGATTATGCAGGGTGATGGAACTGAGGCACTGGAGTAAATTGAAACAGGCTGTAACATGGTAACACCATCTGCTGAAGAGGTTAAGTGATCAGTGACATGTTGTGATTCTTATTCTGGAAATAATACTTTTAAATGGTAGCCAGGGACCTGGGCTGTCCTTTCTTGTTAGATTTGAGGTTCTTACAGCAGTTACTGGAATTATTACTGTCTTTTGGAATGAGACACCATGTAAATTGCTGGATATGTTCCCCTCAAACATTGGAATCCATCTGTCAACCTGCATGGTGCCACATCCCAGATGACAGTAATTATCTTCTCTCTTGCCTTCATAAGGCTTCCAGGTGGAAGCATCACTACAGGGTTGTCATGAAAGGACTGGCTCTGCTTCACATATTCACCGTCCAATCATAACATCGGTATTGCAAAAATATGAAATACAGGCTTCAAGAAGCTGTTCCACAGAAATGCTGCATAAATTTCAGAATAATAGTCTTGTGTAGCAATATTCATCTGTTTGCCCATCTGAAACCTCACCTAAAGGATCTAATACCTTGAACAAGTAACCTTATGGAAGGAGGGTCATATGTGTTCCATGAGATCTTTGGTATTGCTGTTTTGGTTTTCATTGTGTATAAAAAATACAGAACTTTCTGATGATTGTGATGCACCTTGGAAGATGGTTCAGACACAGTGTACTATGTGCACTTTGCTGGATGAAATGGAACATCATAAAGTTAAATTTTCTCTTCCCTATATTTGCATGCTTTGTCTTGATTCCATGTATATGTAAGCCAGATGTTTATTTGTTTTCTGTTATTTTAGTTTTTTAAATATGCCAGTAACTGTGACTTATATAGTTTTGAATGAATAGATGATACTGAATGCTGAATTGGGGAGGAAGTTGAAGGAAGCAGTTGTGCCTAATTTAAGGTCCTGTTGTGGCATTTGTCAAGAGGAACTGAGGAAAGGCATGAAAACTCTCAGTCAGGATAGTTGATGGCTGGCTGAGATCTGGATGATTGCCTGTAGAATACAAGTCACAAGCATTACTGCTTGAGCCAATTTACTCAATACAAAATGTTCTCAAGAGGACCAGGATTTGCTTCAGTAAATTCAAGGAGTCAGCGTATTACGGTCAACATCACGTGGCTGTTGATTAATCTGTGTATCTTGTATCTGTTAATTTTCAGATCTTTAATGATTAATTAATTAATGTGTTGATGCAATGCTTATGCCAAGGAAATATGCAGTACAAGTAATATATTGTTGGGTCTCTTTCAGTAGGTTACCTAACAAGTTCCACATTTCCTTCAGTATAAGGTGCTATTGGAAAGTTCCCAAACTAGGTGAAGAAAAAAATGCTGGAATAACTTACTCAATTTTGGCTGCCACGTCCTACAAAATAGTCTCCTTGGGAACATATACAGCGATCCCATTGTTTTTTCCATGCTTCAGAAACAGCATAAATATCATTTTCCATAATGCTGTTGAGTACTGGATGTCAGACATTGTTTCAGATATTCTCGTTTTTAATTTGGGAAACAAGGCAAAATCACAGTGGGCTAAGTCTGGCTAATAGGGAGGATGGGGAATGGTAACCATGTTGTTGTTAGTCACAAACTCTGGTTTTCAGGGATGTGTGGGTGGGTGTGGTGTTGTGATGAAGGATCACTGCGGCGCATGTTCAGATTTTCCGTTAAGATTGACTTTGTCCATCGTCTGGTATTCTGGACACACCCTCTGGTTCTGTGATTGAGATCAACTCTTTGTAATGGATCCATCTGTGTACGTATCTCCCAGTGTTTTCAGCTGAGGATGGAATGAGATCCAGTTTCTGAAATGTGTTCTGTTCAAAATATTAGCTAATATACGAAGTCCAGAATCCCAGTAACCCTTAATGTCATACAGCATCATCAAAACTTTTGGAATTGAATTATGCCCATAACCAATTTGCTCTCTTGATAGCCAGGTCACATGTTGTTATAGCTGAACCTCTGTTCAGGTACGGATGTTGGGCAGAGACCTTGGTCTCCCACCGGACCTGGTGATGCGGCACCCATTTCCAGGTCCAGGCCTTGCCATAAGGGTGTTGTGTGCTGAGGAGGCCTACATGGAACGGGATTTCTCAGAGACACAAGTTCTTGTGAAAATCATTGCAGAATATGACCAAATGCTACAAAAGGTAATGACTGTTTTGTCCATGTTGTTCAACCAAATGAGCTAGCTCATTGTATATTATATTTGAGGTTCTAATCACAGTGGTTGTGATGTGCTGTGTATGTGGCATTCTTGGGGAGAATGGGGGAAATGCAGTAAAACCCTGTTGAGACTTCTTTAAAGGACTGCATCTAAGATCTTGCTAGGAGAGAAAACTGAATTCAGATTTCTTGGCGCTTTCATTCCAAAGAGTGTTACTGTTTAAGGCTGCATACATTATTTATATGTCTAATTAGCAGAACGAAGAAAACGAAAAAGTAGAAAAAATATTTTAACAGTAGGGCTTTCCGCTCACCATCGCTGAAGTTCACAGATGACTTGTCTGGCAGCATAGTTATATCATTTTATACATATGATCATCAGAAATGCAAAATATTCAGTTTGAAACCATTCAAATTGTCCTGTATACTGTTGTGATTTAGGGGTTACCATAGATGTGGTATGGACTGGATATTGGCTTTATTGAGACACATGTACACACCACTCAAAACTACAAGTGATTATGGCGCCATCTCAGATCTTCACACTTTACAAATCACTAGCACATGCTAAGTCTTCTCAGTGTTCACTAGTCATATCCTGGCAACTGATTTTAACACAGTAATTATAACAATCTCACTGTAACTACAGCACCTGTGAAGTCTTCTTTTCCCAGCCGCACTCTTGTAACTAACTCTTCACAGCTGGACTTTCAACTCTCCACTGAACCCTATCACCATCTCTTCTCAGCCTCCCTTGCAGAGCTCTACTCCGCTGCCAACCATCAACTAACTGGATTGCCCCAGTCGACTTCTTTGTAACCACTTTGTACAGACTTAACAGAAAACACTATTTCCAACAATTACTGTATTCTTGTAGATGCTTGTTTACCAATCTGTTGCTTAGAAATAGGTTGCATAACATAGTTGCTACACTTGAAATTATTGAACTGATTGAGTCAGCTGTTTGATGCATGGAAGTCAAACTTATATTTTCTGCTTTTCGCTTGGTGATGGTTCATTTGAACATTTCTTGAATCACATTTTTGGGACTGTTTGTATTCAATATTTACTCATGTCATTTATGCACTTTTTTAACAAAAAATTTTTATCTGAAAGTTGTGGGTACAATATGAGTGAGTAGGTTTAAAGGTGCTTCAGTGGCTTCAGCCGTTTGTGCCATGGGTAAGATATATAATCATATTTTTCAAAGTGTAATTTTACATCATAGATTGAGATTAGGAAAATCACAGTTACATAATATTGAGAAAAACAAGAGTCACATCAGAGAGAAAAAGTTTCTGCTCTTTCCACATAATTTATAACCGGCATTTTGAAGCCAGCTGTGTGCTGTACTTCCTCATGTTTGACAAATTTTCAAATTGTGGCTTATTACTGCTAATAAGATGATATAGCCTCCTTGACTGCTAACATAGTAAGGCATCCAGCACATCACAGTGGCTGGTGAGACAACACTAACAGTAAGATGTTATTTTTGACAGGTTCCCCTCTTCAACCTGCTCTTGAGTTTGTAGACATGTGCTCAACATTGGTTGACTAGGAATTAGACCATGTTGACATAAGGAATCGAAGAAGCAATACAGTTGAACCCCCATTTAATTGATCTTGCTTTGATGTTTTCCCTCATTTAACATAGGTTCACTGGTCCCAAGTCAGTAAGTGCAGTGTTGAATTTCCTTTAAGATTATCCTTAATTTAGTTTTCACATCCATTGATATGTAAGAAACCTGAAATTGGGTTTTAACTGTATAATGAAAGGCAAAAGCATGCAAGCACTATCCTACGGTAGCAGCCCCTTCAAGTCTTGAACAGTATGAGGACATTGTTTAGATTGATGTGTGAAGATGCTGTGTCATTCTTCTTCACCAGTGCACTTTTTTGTTCTCGGGTTATTTATAGTGATGAAATGTATATTGGTGAAGGCATGACCTTTTGTATACTGCTAGGTAGTCTTGGTGCACCAGAAAATAAAGGTAAAGGTAAAGAGTGTGGAACAATCTTTATCCTTCAGGCATTCTGCAGTTATTCTACCCATGCTAAATATTGGCTGGCAGAGTCTGTGTGAGCAGGAGCATCAGAAATAGCAATATTAAGACCAGGACAGTGAATGCTGGCCAAAGGCAAGGGTGAGTGGAACATCTGGGCACTGGCATATAACCATCAAGGCAGCATAGCAACACCTGCGTTATTTAGGGATTGCAGACATGTGTAAAAAATCTCATTAGGCTATATCAGGATAGATTCATCTTATATAAGAAGTCAGACAGATCACATATACTCTAAATCCGTAATTCTGGTTCGCAAGAGAGTTGGGTGTGTTAAACTTGGGTTTCTTTGACGGGTGGCTAAGATGAATTACAGTACTTTATGAATGCATGGATTGTTGCTGATTTACCAAGTTATCAAATAACTTTCTTTGTTAGTCATATCACTGCATTCACAAAGTCATATGTTCCTGCACTTTTGTTGATTGATTGATTAATTGATTGCTGTATTGTGAAATGTAGTGTCACAGCATGCTATATATATATTTTTTTTATTTAAGAATTCTGAAAGCAACTAAAAGGTGACCAAGAACCCAGTGTTTATGTAACTGTAATTTGGCAGTCCCTTGTACTGATAACATTTACCCCCTGCCCTTAAACCATCTTATTTCTGTAAGATTTGAGGCTTTCACGGCCGTGACTATGAAGAAAGCAGTCTTCTGGGATTTGGCACCGTGTATATGTGGTGTTAACCAACGTCTCTTCGCTTGCAGATTTCTTATATTTTTCCTTCTACCCTGAAGATGGAGGCGATACGTTCCTCCAAAACGTCGGTTAACACCAGATATACATGGTGCCAAATCCCAGAAGATTGCTTTCTTCATCTTATTTCTGGCTGCCTGCTCACAGACACAGATAGGTCCCTGTTCCCATGTTGATTAAGCACTTGTTTGCGGTCTCACACTACATACCTGTATAGCTGTATCTTTTTTTGTACAAAAGAAGATTGTTGTAGTGTAAAATATTTTATATGCTAAAAAGTAAAGTTGTCCATGTGCTTAATAAATTAATCATAATGACATGAAGACATATTGGGGAGTGGAAGTACAGCTTCACCATTCTTGACCTTGGCACCAGATGGAGGTGAGTGGTCAGCTTCATGCCCTTGGCCCCTTTACTCTCAGAGAAAGAGATCCCTGTACTCATTGTATAGGATGCTGGGTGAGTCCCAGAGCTGGTTTGGACACCGGAGGACGCCTCTGTGTACTGACTGAGCTATCCAGGCCCTTATGTGGGAAGCCCCTATCAACAGAAAAGATATGTATGTCTTATAGAATATATGGCAGGACTGACAAACTTTAACGTCTTAAACAGGAATACTTCTTATTTAGTTACTGTACATTAACAGCTGCAGCTACAGAGCCCATTGCTGATGGTGAAGTGGTGCCTAGACTCTGTTGTATGATGTGAGACCTGTAGAAGCACCTGTGTTGCTTGTATCATGTTACAGAAGCATGCATTGCTGAACCGTGTGGAGAGTGTGACAAGTGAAGACGAGAGGTTAGAGCTCAGGAAAGCCTCAAACAAGCAGCATCTGGCAGCCACACTTCTGCCTATTCGGAGTGTTGGTGTGCAGGTAATGTTACAGTAATGTCTCATGCGCATTGGTCTAATAGTAGCCCTCTGGTTGATGTCTGATACTTGCAGGTTTTGCAGTCGAAACTTGTTTCATCCACTAAGACTGAGAAACTATTCTAAATAAAATGTGAGTGTAGATATGAGTTGCAGTCAGTTTATAAAGTTGTCATGGTGTAGAGTAAAAATTATGGACATTCATGAGAGCTGTATGAGATTGAAGTTCTTGCTGAAGTAAAGATTTGCATTGTGATCTTCTGTTGTTATGACACCATTCAGTCTATAAGCTGGTTACCCGCATTTCAGAGGCATAAACTCCTTCCATCTTCACCTCTGCCCTGAAGGCAGAGACAGCAAATTCAGCTGAGAGCTTGGTAATGTAGCCGTACCACTGACACCACCAGCTTTATTTGTAATCAATATTTCTTTTAGAGAAATGAAGCATAGGATGTAGCAAGAACATTCAAGGGTGACTTAGCCCGATTCTTGGTTTCAAGAATAGGGCCTGCTTCACTGCTACAAAGACCAGACAGGAAGCACCCCGCAGAGTTTTCCTGGAAATTCAGTTAGAAAGTTGACCTGCGGGATCCTTTGGTACAGTTACACTTGACAGGTTTTGAACCCGTAAGTCAAAAGTGGGAAGGCCAGCAACCCACACTACTGGTATAATTTTTCAAGCAGCTGTCAAAAACGACATTAGGACTTTAAGGTCCAAAGTCCCAGATTAAAGTTATGTGATTGGAGCAGTGAGAATTATGGTTAACTCCCTAAATTCGAATTGTTCCAATCAGCAGAAATTAGGGTAGTAACTTGGAGGCGGAGCTGAAGCCGCGAAGATTTCTTGCTTCGAAGCAGGGTCAGTCTGCGAGAGGAGTCTCTGAACAACCCTCCAAGTGTACAGCCGAAATTATGTTTAAGTGTTTGCAGGAACAGTCTCTGGATAACTCTTCTAAATTTAACGTGAAATTTTCTTGGTGCTAAAAGTATAAGTGAAAGTGCAATTCTAGGGGTTGTGCTAAAAGAAACAGCCGCTAACTAACTAGCCAGGGATCCGGTCACCAGTGTTGGAGAGATTTCCAGGTGTTTTAAGGAAGTGCAACAAGTGCTGATACATGTACGTGTATAGCAAGATCGGCTAATTAAACAGTGTGTGTTAGTGCCTACCTAAAACACTCTTCTCTTTCCCGCTGACGCGAGGCCCGTATTCACCCTGAGACTGAATCTCATCGCTCCAGTGAGAACGCGGTACCTAGCACTTGTAGCTTCCAGTTCATCCCCCCTTTTCCCCGAAATGTAAGCCGTTACAATAAGCTTACTGGCGCCCAGCACTCCGATAACCCATACCCCGCAAACTATTATCCACCAGAACAACAAAAAGGGAAACAGAACTGGATAGGAAGGACGCAGCAGCAACCTGCCAACTCGAAGAACAACAGGTGAGAGGGAACGGCTAGAGGAGCAGATGCAACCAGCAACCAAAGGGCTCTTCAGAGGTCTGCCGGAGAAGGACGGTTAGAGTAACCGCCCTCATGACTGCATGATGTCATAATGCAGAAGACCACAGCCTTTGAATTCTTATAAGTTTCTGCCAGTGAAGAGAGGAGGATGGAAGGTACAAATGTGTTACACAGTACTACGAAATAAACTGTAACAAGAAGTTTTGGGAACAGCTAATTGCCTGTATTCATTTTGGTGTAATTTCAATGTCAGATATCACAAGCAGAAAGAAAGATTCAAAATGTATGTGTAATGAAGTCAGTAAAACAATACAGTATGGGAGGATGCAGTGTAGGTACTACTAATGGAAGTGATTTATGAAGTACGCCGTTGAGATGGCCTCAGATGGCATGATATACATACCAAGTTTCATGAAGATTTGTTAGGGTAATGTTAAGGTTATTACTCCAACAGTGTGATAGGCTTCAGTGTTGGTATTAGTTAGTTATTGGAGAGGGTGGGTTTCCCCATGCACTTAGACCTGTATTGGTCCATTGTGCTTCCCTCTATGATTTCTACCAGTCTCTATATCCTACCGGTACTGGGGCTTACCATCAGTCCTGCCCAGCCAGCGAGACCGGCTCTACTAGCTGAGAGGTATCTATACCAGAGGTATTAGAGACTGCTGTTGGGTGGGAAACGTCCGTAATTTGGCTCAGTGACCTCCTTTGGAGATATGAGGTTCTTTTACGTGCTGTAAAGCTACGACACGGGACCCACGGCTTAAAGTCCCTCCCAGAGGACTTGTTCCCTGAATTTTTCTGCCCTTAAAAATTTGACGACCTCCGCCGGGTATTTGAACCCGCATACTGCGAGTCATGAGGTGGGAACGTTACCTCTAGACTACGGAGGCTGCTCAGTGTTGTTATTACTAATGGGAAGAATTTGTGTTGTATGCTGTTGAGATGACCTCAGATGTCATGACACATAACATACAAAGTTTCATGATGATCGGTTCAGGAATTCAAGTAATATTAAAAGTATTACATCAGCAGTTTGAGAGGGTGTAATGTTGGTACTACTGATGAGAAGGATTTTGTAACTGTGCTGTTGAGATGGCCTGAGGTGACATGATGTACATTCCATGACAATTGGTTCAGGCATTCAAGTAATATTAAGAGTATTACCTCAACAATTTGAGACTGTATAGTGTTGGTATTACTGATGAAAGTGATTTATAATGTACACCATTGAGATGTACTCAGGTGGCATGATATACACACCAGGTTTCATGAAGATTGGTTTAGGCATTCAAGCAATATTAAGGTTTTGCCTCAACAATTTAAATTGCTGGAATATTGGTGTTACTGATTAAAGGGATTTATGAAATGCACTGTTGAGATGGGCTCAGGTGGCATGATATGCATACCAAGTTTCATGAAGATCAGTAGAGGCAATGAAGCAATATTAAGGGTCTGTCTTAGAAATTTGAGAGTCTGTAATGTTGGTATTACTAATGGGGCGATTTATAAATTAGACCCTTTGGATGGGCTCAGGTGCCATAATATACATACCAAATTTCGTAAAGATTAGTTCAACCATTCAGAAGTTAATTTGGGGGGAGGATACATGCAGACAGCAAGGGAAGCTCATTAGCCTATTTTTACTTTTTCAAAATAAGGAAGGCACCTTATGCATGCAGGCCAACCTAATGCAAAAGTTTGGAGAGGTGAAACTAGGAAATGTGATAGGCACTAAAGAGCAATGGAAAAGGTCCGAGAGACTTTCGAACATACATTAACATAAGAACAAATTTTTTTTTTTTTTAAATATGTGAAACATATCCACAAAATAAGTTCTGTTTGCAAATATTGCTGCAACACTGCGGTCACTATGGTGTGCATGTGTGCAGAATCTGTTGGTCCTTTTGGAAGGCACAGACTCCATTTGCAGACAACTGAACCGTGTTTACACATCATCTTGTGTGTTTACAATGTTCAAGAAAATCAAGAAACCTGCTTCATGTGAAATGCGGTCTGTAATCTGTTTCTAGAATGCAAGAAACATGCCATAAGTGAGTCAATGGTAAGGAGATGAATTTAGTTTCAGATGAAGCTATGAAAATTAATATTTTGTCAGTAACACGTGCATATGTAGTAAACTTTACTCTTTTGAAGTTAATGAACATGTTTTCATTGTGCAGGGAGACTGTCGCAGCTATAGCTATGTGGTGGGACTGTCCAGTGAGAAGGAGCCAGACTGGGATGACATGCTATTCTTGGCTCGTCTCATTCCTAGGGTTTGTCACAATGTGAACCGGGTATGCTATATATGGGGTGGATTGGTACGTGACCAGGTGCTGGACATCACACCTACATTCCTAACTTCGAATGTGCTGAGCACACTCCGGCAGGCAGACCATGTAGCCAATCAGGTGAGCAAAATGAAACTCAAAAGATGTTAATTGCAAAGTTTTAGCTGGAAAATAGAATATACAAACCTGCTCACTTGTCGTGGGAGATACTGAACACGATAGTGACAATAGTGTGGAGGTAACTCTCTAGACTTGTATTTGGGAGGTGCTTGGTTCTAATCTCAGCTAGGACACTGGCTATCCCGACATGATCTTCTCAGTCCCTGCAGACAAATGATAGGATAATACTTTGGTTAGACCATGGCTGCTTCCAGACCCTTTGCTATTTATCGTTAATCTATCATCCTCACAATGTAGAGTCTGGATGCTGAAAGCATTAACCCTTTGGCGCGGTCATTTAAATTCCGCGGCTGCGTCTCCGGCGGTAATATATTCAGCCGGCCATTTAAATTTTGCTCGAAAATGATTTATTCATCTTTGTTCTTAAATTCTATGAGATAGGAACATGAAACTTTCACTAAAATGATCTTAAAAGGTGGTTTTATAACCTTACCTTATAATATGGGCGCCCTGTATCTCGGCAATGGAAGCAGCTTGTTTAGTATTTGAGCAGTGAATGGTACACCTTGAAGGATGAAACTTTCACTAAAATGATCTTAAAAGATGGTTTTTATAACCTTACCTTATAATATGAGCGCCCTGTATCTCGGCAATACAAGCAGTTGGTTTAGTAGAATCTGAGCAGTGTAAGGAAGGCCTTGAAGAATTCGTATAACCCAACGGTGCCCCACATTCACCGCTCCAATATTGTCTTTTCTTTTGCCCTTTTTTTTAACCACACATCTGTGCGGCCTTCTTCTTCCCCGTGAGGGGTATAGTTCAAGGAAATGTCTTTCCGTGACCCGTTTAGTTGCCAGGTCAGCTGTAGTAAATTCAACGTTACGAGTTATCATAACAAGGGGTTGGTGCTTCTGCGTTTCAGATTCCAACCATTTTGGCTGCCCCAGATGTCGTAGGGGTGACCACAGAATTCATGAAGTTATTCTAAGAACTGGCTGGTATATAGTGAACGAAAGCAGAGCTTAGCTGGCTCAAAAAAAATATTTATGGTCATCCCTCGAAACGACCACCAAGGTCAGTACGATAAAATGGCGTCAACTGGAGCGATAATACATGAAGGAATGAGTTCTTTTCCCTCCCCCACACACATCCGTATCGTCTCAGGGGGTGACCACAGTGTTCTGCCTTAATTCGTGACGTTTTTCTAAGAACTGGGTGCTATATACTGTGCAAAATCAATCGATCATGCAAGAATAAATTTTTGGACATCCCTGTTCTAAGAATTCCAATTGAGTGTGTTAGTGTGGCCAGCTCAGGGCAATATGATATTATAAACACAGCACATATCACGTCTCTGCTGTTTATAAGTTCATAGGAAACAAAACAGGCCTTTCAGCACAGTAGAACGGAGAAACCTCTCCCAAGAGCAACAGGAACTTTGCTGCAAGAAAGGCATATATAACGATGATTTAGCGCAGCTAAACTCGTGGATTATTATACTCTGAACTACTGACAACAGGCCAGCGAAAAATCTAACAATCTACGGCAAAACCATCAATTATTATGGGCGTTATAACATAGGTGTGCAGCTGGACGAAACATACACGTCAAACCCCCCCAGACGATTTAAATACCTGACGAAACATACACATCAAACCACGCTGAACGGTTAAATAACCCACATGTGCACCGCCTCTGTGGTCTAGTGGTCGGAGTTCCTGGCTATAGATTTATAGGCCCCGGGTTTGATTCCCGCCGCTACCAGATTTTCTGAGAAGTATTGGGTCTGGAGCGGGGTCCACTCAGCCTCGTGAGGATAATTGAGGAGCTACTTGAATCAGAAAGTAGCGGCTCCAGTCTAGAAACTGATATTAATGGCCATGGGTATTCGTTGTGCTGACCATGCGAAACACTGTATCCGCTAAAGTTGGCACTAACTTCGCCGACAAGCGGCAGTCGCTCAGTCAGTGTAGTTCGCTTGCGGACTGAAGCTACGGAGTTTTTTTATTTTTGTGGATGTGCACAGACCATATCAGATTAGTCTACCTGAATAGTTGGTGCAAATGAGGAATGTTTGATTTCAGTGTAACACCCCATCACTGTGTGGGTTAGGTAGGGTGGCAGGTTTTCAAAGTCTGTGACACTGCTCTACCTTTAAAGTGACATACTGAATTATTAACAGGGCTGCTGCCATATAATTTAAGAATTTTCCTACAGGTGTTATCTGCAATGTAGAGCTGTAACATAATCCAGGTTTCTGATTTGTAATATAATATGGAACTTGTTTATTTCTATTGGTTTCTAGTATGTGCCTCCCTGGTCAGTCACAGACCATAAGGTATGCTGTGTCACATGGTGTATCAAACTGACACAGACAGTAGACATTTCCTTTTTCTCAATTCGGTTAAAAAGCACAATGTTTTATAAGCTGGCTCTGCTTCCATCATCAGATAAAAGCATGAATCATGGTTATTGGGTCAGTTAGATGCAGCTGATCTGCACCCCCAGAAGTGAAGGTACCTTTTACTATTGAGATGATGGTCTTAGTGAGGCGGTTTTGCCCTGGCAGGTGTTGGCCTCATCAGGCTGTGTCAACTCCCTCAGTCAGATGCCAGTTGTGCTGATTCCTGTGCATTTTGACCGTGACCAAATGTTGCGGATTCCCTCATGTCAGCGTTCGATCGTGCTCAGGCCTTTCTGTACTCATGACTTCATGACAGGAGTACCAGCCGTCCCAGGACGAGAACTGCCTGTAGATGTGAGTGTTACTAGGTTGTCTGTAAATGTAATATAATCATATAGTCATGCTAATATATATTTGTGTATCTTGTGTTATATATGTGTCTATTTTATCTTCATATTGTAATAGTTTGTGTGTGCATGTCTGGACGGTTTATAACTGATGGTGAAACTTATAGAGCTGGAGTGTAACTTGACATGTTATCCATTTAACGAACAAACTGGCCCACGCAATAATGCTTCTAACTTGTATTTCAGAGGATCTCAGTTCAAATATTGCCTGGGACACTGACTATCCTGGTTTTCCACAGTTCTTCCAGGCATATGGCAGAATATTATCTCAGATTAAGGCACAATCACTTCCTTCCTCATCCTTGCTGGTTTAATATCCATTAATTGTCCTACCATTCTGCAATATATAGCCTGAGTTACTGATGATGTTATTAAATAAAAAGTAAGTATGCAAAGTGTAACTGTCAGTGCTAGAAGAGTGACTGATTTAGAACCTTATGTGCGTTATGTTAGGTGTGTCATTGAACAAGCTGGTGTAGCAGTTATGCTTTGGGAGGTGCTTGGTTTGAATCTCAGCTGGAATATGACTATCCTGACTGAGGTTTTCATGGTTTCCCTGTCTCTGCAACCAAATTCTGGGATAGTACTTCAGTTAGGGTATGACCACATCCTTCAAAATCCATCTTCATTTATTCGCTGTTGTATGGTCTGTGATACTGGAAACACCATGCAGTATCTTATTGCAGTCAGCAGTGAACTCTGCTGTATAATCTGATTATCACACAGACACCCTCTCTTGGCAGGACAGAATTGAAATTTACTTTTGCACCTAATGTATGATGTGACCAGGACTTTTTATTTTGTCATGGGTTAGTGACTGAACACAGGGTTAAGATTGGTAATTGAATTTAATGGATGCTTCCTCCTTTTGTTTAGAGGTAATTATAGTACATCTACCCTCGTTCACAGCCTGTAAATAACTACAGCACATTCAGAACCTTTCAGTCAGCTATATCTCCACATACTCATTGCTTTGTAATGACCTCCAGTAACCATGACTGTCCATAACACTTCTATCCTCAATGGCCTTGGCTTCAGTCTGGTCTACTGCTTTGCTGCTGGGCCCCACCAGCACAACATTTCTTGGTTTCATGCCCCACAGAACCCGTGACCATATTTTTCTGTCCCACAGCTGACATTTATGTAACTGTGGCTTTGGTCAGTTGGGTAAATTGCTGCTGGCCTTCACCAACACAGTCATTCTTGGGTCTGAGCACTGTGGGACCTATGACCGTATTTTTCTGTGTTACAAATTTGAGTATGGCTTTAGTCGGCCAGGTAAATTGTTGCTGGTCCTTGCTGGCATAGTCATTCTTAGTTCGGGGCCCTGCAGGACTTATGACCATATTTCTCTGTATCACACCTCTGGGGGTTGTGTGATTACTCACTGTCTACGAGGGTCGATCAATAAGTACCGTGTTTGAAGACAGGTGGCGTTGCTGAGGGAAGTTGGCATTACCATCGTGTACTGCCATTTGTCAAACGACACCATACTAAATTTCAGACTGATTCATAGGTTAGTTTTTATTTGGCAGCCAGTTGCATCAGACATGTTTCATCGTTCTTGATACACTGGAAAAAGTGCAATATCCATCCATAATTCACTTTTTATTTTTGGATGGAAAAACGTGAAGAAATAAAAGCGAAGTTGGATGCTGTCTATGGGGACCCTTCACCATCTATGACAACCGTGAGATATTGGTTCAACGAATTTAAACGTGGTCGTACATCTGTTTTTGATGAGGAGCGGCCAGGCCGCCCGGCAGACGTGGTTACCGAGGAAATCGTTGAAAAGGTCCACGAAGTGATTCTTGCTGATCGCTGAACTAAAGTGCCCGAAGTAGCAGAGGCCGTAGGCGTGTCGTACGGAATGGCAATCAGTATTTTACATGATAAGTTAAGTATGAGAAAGGTGTCGGCCTGATGGGTGCCGCGATTGCTCACGGTGGACAAGCGGATATGGCTGTCAATGTCGAAGCAGTGTTTGGACCTCATTAAGCGAAATTCACAGGAGTTTTTGCGTCGAGTCATCACCACTGATGAAACATGGATACATTATTATATGCCAGAGACCAAGCAACAGTCAAAACAATGGATTCTTCTGGGTGAATCTGCTCCGAAGAAGGCAAAGACCAGCCGGAAAGGTCATGGCCACGATTTTTTGGGACTCGAAGGGAATAATCCTCATGGACTTTTTGCAGAAGGGACGAACGACCACGGGGCAGTACTACAGTAAAAAAGTGCTGTTTCACCACAATAACGCACCAGCACATTCATCCGGAATTGTCGCGGCCAAATTGCATGAACTGCGCTACAAATTGCTGCCGCACCCACAGTACTCACCCGACCTGGCTTCCTGCGACTTTTTTCTGTTCCCCAACATGAAAACTTGGCTTGGGGGAAAAAAATTCAGCTCAAACAAGGAGGTTATCGCCAAGACAGAAGAGTATTTTGAAGAGTCTGACAAATCTTATTTTTGGAGGGGTTAAAGAAATGGCAGAAACGTTGGGAAAAGTGTATCAACCTCAAAGGAAATTACGTTGAAAAATAAAAAATAAAATGTGAAATACTTGTGTCTTTATTCCTAACACGGGTACTTATTGATCGACCCTCATAACTTCAGTGCAGGCAGTGCAGTGCAGTGCAGTGCAGTAATTTCTTGTTAACTCTTGCCTTCTTGGTTTTGGGTGCTGTCAGGACTGATGACCGAATTCTTATTTGTACCAAGACTTTTATGTGTTTTAAGTGAGAGGAGGGGTCTGACTACTGTTCTGTCTGTCTGTGTGACTTACTTGAGTTTTGGGTAAATGGCTGCTGGCTTTGCCAGCAGGTCATTCTTGGTCCCAGGCCCTGTGGGACCCTTGACCATATTTTTCTGTCTAACTCTCCTTCTCTATCTCAGTTGGTGAGATAAATTGCTGCTGGACCTTGCCAGTGCAGTCATTCTCGATTCCAAGCCCCATGGGACTCATGCCCATTTTTTTCCCTAGGGACTCTGGGAATCATGTGACTGTCTCATAGTTCTGGTTTGCTTTGTAAAGCCTTATCATGTACCGATTAGAAAACACCACTTCCAGCTGTTGCTCTGCTGCTGTTGTGCATATTCATTGCTGTGGAAACATGTTTTAACAAGCCATTACATAGTGCAGTGAATGCCTCCACAGTGCAACTGTGACTGTAGTATTCTGGCTTTTAGGCATCATGTCACAGTATTTCAGTGAAACTAGTTTATGAACTGTTGCATTAACTGCATACAGCAAGTATGAAAATTGTGTTCATGCATTTTACTGAAGATTTCTTTCTCAAGAAGTTTTTCCAAATTTCAGAATACAGAAATATTTTGAAGTGACATATTGGGGTTCAGTTTATGGAGAGAGAGTCTGATCATTCCATGCAGAAAGGGCTGAAGCTTATCAGACTGTAAGGATGCATACAATATGAAAATGTTTGATATAAAGAACACACATCTGTAGCTGTGTCTTAAAAGAATTTCTTGTAGCAGGAAAGGGGAGAGAACATTTTTAAATGTGAAAAATTATGAACCTGGATTGTTGACATACACTTGATTTCTGTTGCAGGCTGCACCATTGCCAAGTTGGCCTACTGACCACAGTGTTGTGCCTATGTCATACACCCCCTGATTTTCTAAATAATTGTGCACACAGTAGTTATGCCTACATTTTGAAATTCTCTTTCCCCTTTTGGCAGGTTGTCCAGAGGATGGTGATGGAGATACTGACAGTTCCGGGTGTGTCTAGAGTTCTATATGACCTGACAGCAAAGCCTCCTGGTACAACTGAATGGGAGTGATGTTGTGCATTAAGCTTAATAGCATTTTATACTAAGCTGTGTGTGACGCTCATGGGATGTGAGTGTGGTGCATCTGTTGTGATATGTTCACGTACATCTGCGATGTTGGTACTATGTGAGACAAGTCAGGCTAGTATTTCATACTGTGCCTGAGGCTTAGCTGTTTGGATTATTTGCGACAAATTACACTTTTTCAACGAGAAAGCGCAGTTGGATGAATTATACTGCATTTTTTAAACCAAAATTGTTGGGGGGAAGGGGCAGAGGGACAGGAGGGATATTTTAATGTATTTTTTCACTACATCATTCCTACCAGATGACACTAGTTGTTAGGGTGCGGTGCAGTGTGTATATGTATTCCTGTATTTATTTGACATCTGGGAGCTGCATTGTCACATGCCTTGTAGTACAGTCATGCCCACACCGCTGTCTCACCACAAGGTGAGTGTTTTCCAGTGTACAGGTTGGACCAGTCATGTTAGGGTCCACAGAATGTGCTCTTTGGGTTTCAGAAGAACATACTTTAAGAATTTGTGTTCTTAGATGTATCCCATCAGTTCATACCACTCCAAAAATTTCATAGAGCTTTGCTGACCTCAGTCTTTTCACATGTAGCTGTAGGACCACAATGGATTTTGTCTTCTAACAATATCATTACAGTGATACCACATTTAACCTTTAAACGACTAAAGACACCGTATGTCGTCGCAGATATAAAGGCAGCGGTACGAATGACGCCATGTGGTGTCGCACAGTCCGCGTGTGCGGACGTTATTTTAAAATACATGTTTAAGGTAGAAAATAATGTCCTACTTATATAATTTTTGGCCACCATCTGCATGGAGTGTCTGTCTTCCCACCTGCGTCATCTGCTGGAATGTTGCCTTCGTGTGGAATTCTAAAAAAAATCCGGAAGTGCCGAGTCCGATTTCGCACTTCACGCACTTTCTCCGGACGATTTTTCGTTTCCCACGCGAAAAGAACACACGACACCTCAATTGCGAAGTAGAGGAATTCGGCCAGTGATGTGGTTTGGCCTTCTATAATCGAGATATCTCCGATTAAACGGCAGGGGTTCGACTCCTGGTCGCACAGTCCGCGCGTGCGAACGTTATATAAAATAATATTTTAACGTAGAAAATGATGTTC